GGCGCAGTTGCTCTGCCCCGGGCTTCCTGGAATCAGTGGCTGATAAGTTTCAGCAGCAGCTGACTTGGTGTTCTTAAGTTCAATCTGTATGTAAGTCAGTGAAACTGATCAGTTTCAGCAGCGGCTGAATCTGGATGCCAGTTCCGACTTACATACAGATTCAACTTAAGAACAAACCTACAGTCCCTATCTTGTACGTAACCCGGGGACTGCCTGTAACTTTAGTTAGCATTTTTACTAAATTGAATACCATTTAAAAGTAACTTAATTGGGTTTGTCAGATTTTCTGATTTAAACATTCAAATTGTGGGTCCAACAGCTCAGCTTCAACTTAAATATTAGGAGATTTCTGTTTTATTTAGGCGAAAAAGGGGAGGGAGGGAAAGGGAGAGAAATTCTAGTGTAAATTTAGATAGAGCTTTGCAAATCTACAGATATGCACTTTATCTCTGCAGATATCCACAGCTCATTTTTGTGGATATGCATGTAGATGCAGACACAAATTTTGTATCTAGAGCCCTGCAAATTTATGGATATCCACTTTATATCTGCGAGTAGCCACATCTGCAGATGTCGGTGAGGATATCTGTGGCTCATTTTTGCGGATGCAGATATAAATTTTGGATCTGCGCGGGAATTTAAATATAGATACAGCAAGCCTGATTCTCTGCTCTGACATTTGTACAACAAGGTAACTTCATCACTGTCAATGGAATTACACCAAAATAAACTTTGGAGATTTCAGTAAGGTCACTACAATATTTTCTCCTAGAGCCACCCTGATTAGCCAAGCTAACTTTAGCAGCACTGATTTCTCTTTTAGTTAGCAAAACACTTCATTTTTGTTTATAAATGTCTAAGTGTCTAACGTGCAGTCATAATATGCTTAACATATCCATTCATATATATATGATGAATTAATTTGTCAGATATCTTTTGGCCACCACACTTATTTATGCATTTCCCCCCAGACTTCCTATAATATTGCCAACCTCTGAGCAACTTCAAATATCTGCCACTCTTTAAATAGCCTGTTATAAAAGTTTCCTAATTCTGCCCCCATCCTGCCCATTTAGATTGGTCTTTGATTCACATCGGGCTGCTGTCAGCTCTGGACAGGACTTAAGCACCAGTGTTTTGGGACCATGTATGTCTAGAAATAGGCACTTTTATGCTTTTTAGGAAATACTTTCCAGCCAGGGTAGAGTTGTACTTGTTCTAGTCCTGGAAAGTTCCAAATTTTAAAGTAGTGACCTTTTTAATAGAAAAGCTATTTCAGGGAACTTTTAGGTATTTTCTTCTTCTGAGTACAGTACTGTAAAGTTACTTATGGTAAATATGCAATATCTTGTTTTCCTAGTATAAGGATACTAAAAGTATTCCAGTGTTTTAAACCCTCTCAAATATCTGTAAAATTATTTTATGCAAGATAATGTTGTTTATCTCCCTTGTGACTTCATCTCTGACCAATGCAACTATCTTAAATATTTTTACCATTACTGCACCACTCTGAGGGAGGGTGTGTGTGTGTGTATGTGTGTGTGTGTGTGTGTGTGTGTTTTCAAGAGAATGTAGGCTGTTGAAATTACAGAGATGGTCAGCATATAGAGTATTGCTACACATTCATGTCATGTAAAGATATATTTTTGGACTGTACATACATAAAAAACCACAAATAGACTGGTAGCACTTTAAGGACTAACAAAACATGTAGCCGGTATCATGAACTTTCGTGGGCACAGCCCACTTCTTCAGATGACCGGAGTGTTGGAAGTCCAGCTACATGTTTTGTTAGTCTTTAAATTGCTACCAGACTATTTGTTGTTTTTTTAAGTTTTTCCTGTTACAGACTAACTCGGCTACCCCTCTGAAACTTGGAAATAGTTTGAGCTGACCACATATCTGACTGAGGAGTCAATAAAATCCATGATATTTCACCCTTGCATGTAATTTCATATCTTGAATGTGCAATTATGTGTGTCTTTAATTGTAAGTTTGTTTTAAATGTGTCTTGCTTGCATACTTGTATTCACTGTTATTCTGCTTTGTTTATGCACCTCTCAGTCATGGATTAAACAGGTCTGTGAGTCTTCTCAATGCATGCAAACTGAAAAAAACTACTCTAAGGTGAGGGATTCTTAGTAGTATTGTAGTGTCATAGTTCAGTAGTTTTTCCCTTCTGTCATAGCTCTGTCCTCTTGAGGGGATTATTTTAGTGATGGTTATATCATATGTAATTAGAGTAATTATTGCAACCTTTAGTATTTTCAGAAACAAATTTTGCAATGTATATTCATAACTGATATGTTTAAGTATACTAGGACTTTTAGACAGTAATTAATTCAATAATGATACCTCTACTTTTCGTGCTAACACTATCTCCATTATAGTGAAGATTTTTCATTATGCAAATTCCTTCTAACATACTTCCTTATTGCACCTTGATTCCTAAGTATTGTACTTATAATAAAACTTTTTTATCCTGGTGTTGTACCATTAAAATCTACCTTTTCTTAAGACTAATCCTGATGGCCAAATTCTAGACTTTCATTCTTACACAGCCCTGTAAGTCAGTATCCTTTATGTGATACTTATGCTTCTTCTTTAAATTCCATTTGAAGTGTACGTATGTCTGCTGTGTCCAGAATAAGTAGGTCAATAGTGTTCACTGCAGTATCTTAATTTTAAATTATATAAAAATAATCTATTACACCTACCAAAATATGTGCATGCCTAAACTGTGTTAACAGTGTGATGGTGTTACTATATCCCTCATCTTTTCTTGCCTCTTCACTTCTCTATTGCCTGTCACTATTGCTCATTGTGTCAAGTCTAAAATCTAAATTGTAAATTCACTGTGGCAGGGACTGATTTCTTCTATGAAATGCTTAGCATTCTCTTGGGTCCTATAAAATAATAGCCGTTTCATAGGTAGGATGATCACACATCCTTTATTTTTTAAAGGACCATCCTTTATTTCATTGACTTTTCCCTTTGACCACTTATCTCTTATTTTAAGAAGCATGAATATGTACTACAATTGATAAGTAATATTTTACATATTAAATTAAAACTTACTAGGAGGGCTGTGTCCCCTGCTCAAAGCGCTCACCAAACCCCCTCTTGTGACAACCCCAGCTCCCCCTCTTGGCCACCAGGGAGGGCTGGTCTGTGGCCATGCCAGTCTAGGTACCTTCTCCCTCCCTGCCTCCCCTAGCCTGTGCTCCTTCTCCCTTTCCCCCTCCTCCTGCCAGCCCGGGCTCCTTCTCCCTTCCCTCTCCTACTGCCAGCATGGGCCCCTTCTCTCTTCTCCCCAACCCTCGCCAGTCTGGACCCCTTTTCCCTCTCCTTCCACCAGCCCGGACTCGTTTTCCCTTTGACCCTCTCCCCCGTGAGCCAGGGTCCTGTGCCCCTCTCCCCCTGCGAGCCGGGGTCCCTTTCTCCCCCTCCACCATGAGCCAGGGTCCTTTGACTCCCTCCCCCGCGAGCCCAGGCCCAGCTCTAATCCTGGCAGCTGGGGAGGCACAGGGGTGCCTGCTCACCCCACATGAGGTACAGGTAGTGAGGTGTGCATGTGGTGCTCTGGGTCACTACAGCTTGCTGAAGTGGGGAAAGCAGCAGTGTGGGGGGCCACCGTCCTGATCTCTCCCCCATGTGGTCCCGTCTGCGCTGCTCACTGTCTCAGCCCTGCCTGCAGAGCCCAGGGCTACCCGTCCGCCCACTGGGAGTGAAGGGAAGGAGCCGACAGGTGTGATGGCTCTCCTGTGCAGCTTGGGGGTGCTCTGGTAGCCGCAGTAAGTGCAGCTGCTGGGGAGGGGGATGATTCTCTGTGAGGGTAACCAGATTCCAGGCAGTCGGGCACTGCACTCCAGGTCCCCAGGAGCCCGCTGCTGGCACGTAAGTCAAGCTGGGAGTCCCCGAGCTGCCACATAAACCCAGCCGGGAGCCTCCACGCTGCTGTCCCAAGCTCTGTACCACCTTCCCCCCACCCGCCTCCCGGGCTGTCACGGCTGCAATGTGGAGTCTGCCGGCTACTGTGCCATGTTTCTTGGCATCAAAAGTCCTGTGGGGTGGGGGTGGAGGTAGGGTAGTAGGGGCTTGGTTTAAAATAGCAATTTCAAGTGGTGAGAGGAAGCAGTGAGGTTGGACAGTAGAAATTAGGGATGTGAGCAGACAACAGGTTAAACAGTTACCTGGTAACCATCACTTTTACTGAGTGATGTTTACCAGGTACCAGTTAACCAATGCCCAGGAGCAGCCCCCTGCGTATGGCTTGCTGAGGAGCCTACTGAAGCCCTTTGGCTCCAGGGCCAGGAACCTCCTGCTACTGATGGCAGCAGTTGCCCCAGGGTCAGAGATCCTACATAGTCTGCTAACCAGCTAAATGTTAAGTTAACCTAATGTTTACATCCCTAGTGGAAATGTCGTCTTGAAAGAAAAATACATGATATGCTAAAGGAAATGTCCATTAAAAGAGCATTTTCTCTTATTTTTCTTGTGGTTTTCTCTTATTTTCTATTCATAAATATAACTGAGGTTAGATTTTAGCACATAATCATAATCAAGAATGCACAAGAGATGTATTAGAATGCATGCATTAATATCAATGTCTAACATATGTCATTATTAATGAAATAACAGTTGTCAATAGCAATATCATATTTAGTCATCAGTTTTACGGGGAACTTTTCTAAGAATAAGGTTCAAACTTCTCAAGTTTCCATGCATTTTTTTTTAACTGAAGACAATGCTTTAGTTAAAAGAAAGCATTCATAATGTCATTTCTATTGTCCTGGTAATTTTTTGTTTTCAGGCTGAGTACAAATGAAATTAAAATTAAAATTATTCATATATTTAAATTATATTCAAACATTAATGACAATTTAATTGTATAAAATATTTTTATTTAAGAAAATTGTTTATCCCGCTGTGTTAATATACTATTTAAATGAAACGTTTTTCTCCAGAAAGAAAACATGGTTTTGTGTTTTAAACTTTTCATTTTTACTTTTGTCCACAACTCTATAGCTATTTAATATTTGTTTCTAAGTTTTTGACATTTAAAATGTGCTCTGTAACTTACAAATTATCTAACATTAATGCAATAAGTTGCACCTTTAAAGGCGTAACTTAGTACCATTAAGTAACATTACTTTTTTATGCTATAGCTAGTGAACGTAATAAATATGGGCCCTGATCCTACAAAAACTTATTCATAGGCTTAATTTTATGCAATGGAATTCATGGGGCAACTCATCCAAGTAAAGGAATGGAGAGATATTAAAATAGACTATATTATGAATTAAAATGTTTACTTTATTTTCTGGCTGCCAATATTTTATAGAATTGGTTGGAGGAGCTTTCTTTGAGTGTTCCTTCATTATCCCTTTCATCTAGGGCCAGCATATGATGTACTAGGTTCTGTTGTGAAGGCAAGATTTATCCCTCACTACCATCACTTGCTTGTTGGCAATTTATTTTTCTCATTTACCTTTGCAGCTTAGCAACCCACACATTTTCTGTTATTTCATCACCCAAACGAATATTCTTACTTCATCTTAATAATTTGCATTATGGTTGATTTTTGTACCAAAATGTACCCAAAACAATTTGCACCACTGTCAGGTGCTCCAAAACAGAGAATATGTTAGGTGGCATAAAGCGTTCCAGCATGCGTCTGATGTATCTGACCATGTAGAACTTAACATAAATGCATACATTTTCTCAGGGTATGTCTACACTTGCACCCTAGTTCGAACTAGGGATGCAAATACAGTATAGGCATGCGAAATAGTCAATGAAGCGGGATTTAAATATTCCACACTTCATTAGCATGATTTCGCTGGCGCGTTACTCCGATCAACAGCAGTTTCAAAAGTGAAAGTGCGTGCTGGGACGCGTTAGTTCGAACCAAACCCCTTGATTTGAACTAACGTTACTCCTAATTTTTTTATATTTAAATCCCTGCTTCATTGACTATTTCGAATGCCTATATTTGCATCCCTAGTTCGAACTAGGGTGCAAGTGTAGACATACCATCAGTAATGGTTGGTTAGGTGGCATCTTAGAAGCTAATGAATAGTGGTTGAAATCTGGCAAGTTGGTGAAGTGACCACAATTATATTTTTCCCTGTTTAAATGTAAAATCTTGGTGATTATCTATTCAGCTAGTTACTAAAACAACCTTCCATCTTGCTAAAGAGAGCAGTATGCTGAGGGAACACTAAAATGTGATGCAAACCCCTCCTGGTACAGATGTTTGCAGAAAGGAAGGTTTGAAGAGGCGATTAGCTCTCTGAGAACCCCCTCTTAGAGAAAAGGGGAGAACAACACCTTTTTAGGATCTGTGCTTTTTTTTCATAAATGTTGAAGTTGGAGTATCATCTGTCAATAAGATAATGATTAAAATTTTAGAAATATTTGAGAGGCCTCAGCTTACTCATTTCCTTTAGGTATATTAAAACTGTGTTGAAAGCACAGTAGAATATTTGATACTGAGTGGATGTGAAGAGACATGGTCATCTTATTAATGTTCACAATGTGACCTAGTTTGAGAATTATTTGTAATCTAGCTGGGAATGTCATGTTATGCTTTCTTATTAGATCTACCAGTCCATTCTCTACATGTAAATAGTTTGGATTGCGAAACAAAAATTGGAAATGTGGCGGTCTCACTAATATTCTGCTTCAGAAGTCTGTGTATTGCATATTCTTGAGCAATAGATATTCCAACTGGCATCAGTGCTGGCATAGCACATCTTGTAGATGGGAAAATAAGCAAAAAGGTAGCCATGTTGATTTATTGCAGTAGATACCCAGCAAAATATTCTAATTGCTGCAGGTCAGTTCTGAGCATCCTAAATTACTTTCTAGAATAGAAAGTAATTTGGTAAACAGGTATGTTAATGCTCTTAGAAATAAAAGTGGTTAAACTTTCTGAGGTATAGCTTGCCAAAATCCTTTTCTATAATAACTTACTCCCTTTTTTGCTAGTACTGTCAAAAGAACCAGCTCAGCTGAACGTGTGTCCCCAGGAGGTAGAAGAGAAAGCTACGGAGATTCCAAAGGCAGTCGCAATCGCACTGGATCCACTAGCAGTTCTTCTAGTGGTAAAAAGAACAGTGAAAAGTAAGGGTGTTTTTAATGTTTCCCTTCTTCCTGCCCTGACTGCCCTAATATGAAGTTATTAGTTTTAAAAGCAGCTACTGAATGGTTGGATTTTCTAATGATACAGGAATCATAAATGAGATGTCTATACTGTTTTGAACAGAGGACAATTGTAAAGTATTCTGTTATCTAAATTTTTTTTCAAAATGAGATTACACATTTTGTTTTCCTTATTGTATTCCAAACCAGGATCTGTGTGAGAAATTTGAGTTGAATACAGTAATGCCAAAAAAAGCTTAGATTTCTTTATGCTACTTCACATGATTTCCTCTTTGGAAAATACAATCACTTGGCTCAGGCATCATATCTGATCTTTCTGATACATAAGCAGATTTTTAAAGTGACTGTTCATACTTATTATAGAAGCATTGTGAGCCAGTTCATGAGAGAGAGAGAGTTTCTGGATTCCTCTGATCTGATTACATCTAAGGAAGTGGAGATCGGAAAAAGATTCAGTTACGAGCCAAGAGACAGCGTAAATTACTAGATCCAAAAATTAACATAAGGAAGAAAGATCCCAAGCTAACAAGAATCCAACTAATTTGCCTCTGGGTGGTGACACTGATGTTGCCTTAGCTAATAGTGAACAGATTTACCACTCAGATCCATTGTTATCTTCTAGATTGTGAGATTCAACTTAGAGCTGATGATTCTGTTGCTCTGTTGAACATGTTCAACAAATTAGCTTTCTGTGGAAGCAGTTTCAGTAAATACTGTCACTTTGCACTCCTTCCTTTCTCTACTTTCCTTAACTTCTTGTTGCCTTCTCTATACAAATTGGTTACCAAAAATTATGAGACAGCACAGTGAAGATCTACTAATCTAGCCCATACAAAGAACTGGTGAGGTCTCATCTGGAATACTGTACATTTCTTGTCTCCCTGTCTAAAAAGATGAATTCAGCCTGTAATAGGTGCAGAGAAGGGCTACTAGAATGATCAGAGGAATGGAAAACCATCAGAGAAGTTAAATTCTGGAATAGTCTTCCAAGAGCAGGAGGGGGCAAAAATCCTAGCCTATTTTAAGATTGAGCTTGATACATTTATGGAGGAGGCAGCAAGGTGGCCAGCACCGATCTCCCCTGGCTAAGCAAATTCCCTGGTTTAAGACCAGTCAAGTCCCAAGGGTGCCACACCAGGGGGGTTCAACCTGTACTACCTTTCACAGACTACTTTAGTTACTGTACACACTTATGAACAGACTTCTTATATACTCCCCCAATTATGTTTTTTCTTTTGTCAATAAACTATGATTTATGGACATTGACCCAGGCCCGCTGTCACACTGATTTACAGAAACTCTTTAAAATATAATATTTGTATGTGTAGTTGTACACTGTTTTTGAAATAATCATCATTTATGGCTGATGGACAAAATTATGATGGGCTGCTGTATGTGTTAAAGATTCTTAATGTCTGTCACAGTTGGATTAGATTTTCAAAAGAAAAAAAATTGACACTTAGTGGAAGTGAGGCTTGGACCCTAGGGAAGTGAAAATGATTGTATGGGAAATATACAAAATGTTTTGGTATCTGTGAGCAGGGTATCACAAGGAAAAATGTTATTTTTACCGTGTCCACATGTTGTATGTGATTTTTAATGAATTGATTTTATAAAATTATATGAAGTGTTACTATGGCATATGAAAAGTATTGTGTTCATGGCAAACTATAAAAGAAAATTGCTTGATTTTTTTCACAGCAAACCCAAGGAACCAATGTTCAGTGCAGGTAGGTTCTGTTTTATTTTTCTCCATTCCCAAAGAGAACTTGCATGCTGATACAGTTTTTATTGTATGGTGATTTATCAGGGAACCTTTCACTTACAGGCCACTCGTAGCTTTAAATGAATCGGTCATTCAATCTAGATCCTAGTGGACATTGCATCTGTATTATGACTGAAATCCTTTTTGGCAAGTAGACCAAGAATAATAAGCCATGAAAATGGAGACTACCTTCTTACCCAATAGAAACATAAAGGAGTCCGGTGGCACTTTAAAGACTAACAAATGTATCAGGGCAGGACTATTCAACTTTGGAAGCTCCAGGGCCAGAATGTTACTCACAGCACATGTTGAGGGCTGCAACTTAAAGTGTGGTTGCATATACATGCAAATATATATATAAATATATTAAAATAGCTTCTTTCACACTGACTGGCATGAATACAAAGATTAAGGCAAGACTATACAACATCCAGGCCCCATTTAAGTCAGTTCTGCTGATATTAATAAAATGTAATATTTACCCATTTCCACCCATATTATAGCACTTTTAGGCTATGTCTAGACTGCAAGCCTCTTTCGAAAGAGGCTCTTTCGAAAGATACTTTCGAAAGAGAGCGTCGAGACTGCACGCGGAACTTGCGAAAGAGCAAGCCGCTTTTCGAAAGAAAGCACCCAGTGAGTCTGGATGCTCTCTTTTGAAGAAGCCCTATTTACATTCAAGAACGCCTTCTTTCGAAAGAAGCACTTTCGAAAGAAGGCGTTCTTCCTCGTGAAATGAGGTTTACCGACAGTCCAGGAATTTAACTACTAACCTTCCAGTAAGGAACATATCTTAGTTTTTCTTAAATTGCTGTCAGGTGGATACAAGTCTTTGAACTCAGGGTGACAAGATTCATGGTACTATTGCAGGTTTGTTTTCTTTAGTACAGCAATATTCTTTTGACAAAGAAGACTATAATAATAATTTAAGTTAAAGATGGAGGATTTCTGTTTTTTGCGCTGATAATCAAGGTACAGCCCAGCAAAGCACATAAGCTTATGCCTTACTTCTATAGACCTGTTGACTTCACTGGGACTACTTATGTGCTTATTGCTTCTCTGGATCATAGCCCAGTACCTCATGGGGACACTTTGGGTGCATCTACACTGCACCATAGCTCGAAATAAGATACTAAATTTGAGCTACTCAAATTGTGCATCTTATTTCAATCTTATTTCAATATAGTTTATTTTGTAATTTGGCTCTGTCTACACAGTGACAAATTTCAAAATAACCCACTATTCTTAAACATCCCTTACTTCTCATGGAATGACGTTTTCAGGGATGTTGGAATAGCAAGCCCGAAATAATGGGCTTTCTGTAAAGATGTGGGATAGCTTTCTGTAAAGATATGTAAAGATGTGGTATCCCAAAATAGTGTTGCACTATAGACGTAGCCTTATGTTTTAGAAAAGAAAATAATGTCTATAATGTTACATTTACAGTTGTGTCTCATAGTAACTTTTTTTATTTTATTTACTCTCACGTTTGGATTTGATAATCTTTGTTTCAAAAATGTCTATTAAGATTCATAACTTAAATGAGTAATTCAACCTACATAAGTATTAGCCTTCTCATTCAGACAAAATTCCTACTGAAATCAGTTAGAGGGTATTTCCCTAGACAAAGTATAAATATTATTTCTAAATACTGAATTATTTTTAGCATGCAGTTACATACATCAATATTTTAATGATACAATAGCTCTAAATGTATTACTGTTGGCTAGAAAAACAGAGTATTGAATGGAGATACACCCAATCCACTGAATGAACTGTGGGTCAAATGTTTTGTCAAGCAACAGGTTAGCCTCTCACAGGATACAGGTGGACAGCCAATAAAGGAGGGGGGTAGGTGAACCTAACTGTACTGAAACACATCTTTATCTAGCACTTCTGTCTCTGTCTCTGTAATCACAAGGGAAGCGCCGTGTGACACACTGCAAAGGTAGGCGCCACTTCCAAAACCTCATAGCTCTCTAAGCAAAACTGTTACCAGGATGACAGAAGCTGTATTTTTATACAGCCAATACACATTTTTATTGCAAAGTTACAATTTTTCAATTTATTTTGAGTAAGGTTCAGATATTCATGTAATAGTGCAAGAATTATAACCATTTGATACACTTTAATCGTAATAGTGGGTTATTTAGATTTTGATTGACTTTTTTGAAATTCAGTGTTGAGAGAGCTATATGGCAGCACCTGGATGTCTCACTGTGTTTGAAATGCTGTTTTGCACTTCTACTGACATGCCCTATGATATAGAACCTTCCCTGTTTGCTGTTTTGCTGCAAATCTAATATATGCTTATAGAAGCATTGTTTTTCCCCCTGCTGTATCTTCCTTAGTAGATTGTAGACTTACCTGAATTATCAGTAAACATAATTAGGTGTATACCTAATCTTAAATGCTTTCTGCACAGCATAGTTATACAGAATTATAATTAATACATGAACAGTATTGATTTCTGAAACATAATTGAATTGAACATAAATATGTATATTTGATACTGGTCTGTATCTTGTATCTCTGGTATAATGAGAGATATTGTCTTGGTTTTCAGAAATTACTCAACTAATTTTTCACTAACCTGCATCCTTTAGCTTTACATTAATTAAGTTTAAACCCTTATGAAGGAATGACAGTTTTATTCCCAAGACTCTATTTTGGAAGGGGCCTCAACCCCACCACTATCTATTTTTCATGCAGTTTTACGTCTGTAACCAATAGTGGGTTCAGCTGCAGGTTCAATTAGCATTAAGACATATTATTATCTAAAAGAAGAAAATGTACCTGCATTTGCTTGGGCTCACAAAAGTTGTGGATGCAGAAATACAGGCATTTTAAAAATTTGGTCTTTGGTTCTTGTTTCTAGTCTTCTCGTGTCTCTTTGTCTTTTTATGGTGTTCTGATATTTGATGACCTTTGTTATAGCAAGTAGGGGGAAAGGATTGTGTGGTATTGCATATGTAGTTTTCATGCTTTCATAGTTTGAAAGTTCACTATGGTCCAAGTGATAAAAACAATTCTCCTAATAAATGCCTCCCTTCCATATCTTTTAATAATCATGATTAGAGATGACTTAACTACAATCTGTTAATTTTCCAAATGTACTGTCTCATAATGCCTCAATATCTTGAATGCTGGTACCATATTTTCAGCCTCATCACAGGAGTATCGCATGCCAATATGAACAGGGATATAGTTATCTGTCTTGTGCAATACAAAAATATATTTTGTTTCTTGGCAGAGAACTAGAAATGTAATTTATTTGTAAATATCTAAATATGTCTCCAGTGTTTATCAGTCATCTTGAACACCACACATCTATTAACATTTAGTTGCGTCCACTTTTAACATTCTTTTCCATTCTTTCATTAGAAGTCTCATTAAAAAAACCTATTTTTTTTTATATAGGACCATAATTATACATGATACTGTGTGAGAGCAGTACTATAGAGAAACAACTAGATTTCTAGAGCATATACTTTTCTGCCATACAATAACAAAATATAGTTTAAACATGACATTTTTATTGAATGAATTCTTGATATAAATGAGGCTAGGGTCAATAATGCATATATATACTCCCATTAAAACACAGCGTTTAGTTCTTAAAATTAAAATAATTCTGGCATGTATGTTAACAATGCTTGAAAATCCTTAGCATAATTTTAACAGACCTAAATTGTATACATTTTATTTACATAATTTTGTTACTTCTGCCCTTCCATTTCCTTTTTGCACATCATTATTCTGTCCAGTAACTCTACAGATGTCACTGACTCCAAAACTGCTTGATTCACATGAGAGCAAGGCGGAATTCTTTGATCTGCCGATGGAGCAGAAGGAGCCAGCAAGTTTTGAATGTGGAAAAACTTCATCAGAAGTTCACAAGACACCCTGTTTGGCCCTGCCAATTTCTAAAAGTCCTAGTCAGACCTTCATGCCATTTCCTAGATCTCCTAGTTTTAAAAGCCCCATGAAATCCCCAAGTCAGTACTTTCAGATCTGTTATTAATTCATGCTTCTATTCTCAGAAATATTTATTATAAGACTCCCAACTATAGTGTTTCTAGTGTTTTCTCCTATAAATGTTTACTTTCCATCAGCAAAGTTCAGTTTTGTAGCTTCTTTCCTGTATATCATTTTTCTTTCTATAATGTGTTGTCAGTTTGTCATTCCTGTTTCAATGTTTAGCTATGCTTCAAGCACTTAACTGTTTTTGCATGTACATCAGCATGATTCTTTTACTAAGTGTTTGTGTTCTTTATACATAATGTACTTTTCTTACTATGTATCAAGTGTAAAGTATATCTTTACACTGAGATGCAAAGAATGAGGCTGTTTAAGTATTTTTAGATGCTGATCCCCAGAAATGTAAATATCCATCAAAATAAATAAAAGAATTTTAA